GGTCTTTGGACCGTCTCTGGCTTTATCTGGAAGACTCTGGCCTTTGCGTCGACCCTGACAGCCTTTTCTTTGCCTCTGATGCGCCTGGATATGGCGCTGGAGGTCTTGACTTGGCTTTCGCGCCGGCCTCCTATGCTTCCGCCCTTCGCTCCTTGCGCCAGGCCTTGTCTTTATGGGGTCGCCTTGCCCCAGCCGCAGTGGGCAATTACACACTGCATTCGTCTAGGGCAACGGCTTTGTCCTGGGCATCACAGCTTGGGATCCAGGAGCTCCCCAGGCAAGGGCAAGGACATCACCGTACCAACTCAGTGTCCCGACTCTATGGCAGGGACGAGACATTCTCTGCATTGTCCCTTCAGGCTTCGCTCCTGTCTCGCATTGGCAATGGCTGGCGCCCGGCTTTGGCGCAGCATCGTGGTGGCATTGCCCCTAGTACTGGCACTGGCCGTGTCCCCGGCACTGGCCCTGGCGGTGTGCCTTTGGCTCCACGCACACTGCCGTCGTCTCAGCCCGCGGTTTTGGCGCAGGCCAGCAATCCGCCAAAGACACCGAGTCAGATAAACGAGTGCATCATCGTGCAACAGATCTATTGCAGAAGCCCCTGCAGTTCATGTCGGTCAGGACACTGCGGGCTCTGCTTGCTGAGGGCGGACTTTCCGCACACGCACCGATGCAGCAGTTGCTACCAGCGCTGGAAGCGTGGCGAAGCTTAGTCACTGGCTTCGGCTCGGGCTTTGGCGCTGTCCAAAGTTTTTCTTTCTTTGGCTTTGCCATCTTCCTGTTGGCTTTCTTTGGCTTTTGCGGGCCTCGATCGCTGCATGTGGCTTTGCCCCTGTAATGGCCGCCCATGGCCTTGTACATTTAGCACCTGCGCGTGGCAGCACCGCAGCTTTGCTGCCTTTTTCTTGCTTGGTGCTTCGGAGCTTACCCGCTCAGCAAAACATGCTGGTCTTGCCCTGCGCTTTCTGACCTTGCACTGTTGGCTTGTCGCAGTTGCTTCTCTGAACTGCTGCGCCCAGGCTTGGACACCTTCACGACGGCTGCGTGCTCAGCTTCCCTCAGTCAAAGCTCGAGGTGGAAGGTCAGGCAGGTCCTTTGTGCAGTCTGCATGGTCTTCTGACATGTGGTCCACTTCAATGGTTGCATGCTTTAGCTTCCATTTTGCGTGCCACCTCTGCATCATGTCGTGGCTTTGCAGTAGTGACCGCGTTATGCACGGATTGCTTCTTGGTCAAGCTCACGTAAAAAATTGGAGGTGAGGCCGGGCGAGCTTTTGACTTTGCCAGTTATTAAATTGGTCGTATCCGAGCTTGAGTCGGTGCATCTGTTTGTAGCCGTGCTT